GGCCCTTGAATCTTCAACAGTGGGAAGCCCTCTCAGGAGGCATTTCATTCAGTCCAAGATCTCAATGACCTCTGCTTTGCCCAAAGACCAGTGCAATCCCATAAACAGGCTGCCAAGGTTTCTGCAGAGCTCTGGAATGTGAGCATGGAACAAGACCTTCACACCAGTCTCAACAAAAGTTATTGATGGACTTCTTTGTAAGGTTTGGGGATTTCATACAGTGCTGTGTCACCAGAAATCACAAGGTCTCATTGTTGGAAGTCCTAGCATTGTAATGACATATCAACATAAGCTAGAAGTAAGCAATAAAATTTTCCTTGATTTTCAGCACTGTTAAGTGCTTGTAGCTCCTACTGACGAGTCAGATTTGAGGGTACTCAGCACTTCTGCAAGTCAAGTCATTTAACTTAAATTTTTCTTGCTTTTGTCATTTCTTAAATACCTTAGTGGCACTTCTGTAAGAATATGATAACACAACAGAAGCAGATTTGCTTTTGGCCATATGACCTACTTTATAGCTACTTTCATAGTCAATTATTCTTTTGGCTTCTCTATCATTTCACAGCATTAAGACTTTTTTTTAATTAAAACCTAATATTTTATTATGACATAGCAAAAAAAAAAAAAAAATTAAAAATTATTGGCCCCAAACTGCCTAGGAATTGTGACTATAATGAGTAAGAACTGAGCCAACATTTTTAAGACTTGAAGACACAAATTAGGCTTTTCCAATACTATTGAATCTGCAAAAGTAATCTTATTCAAAAAGACTCAGCAAAGTAGTGAGAGTTTTCACAGAGGCCACTGGGAGTTTCTGAGCACTGAGTACTTTTGAAATTAAAGTTCTATATTGACATACCTTAAATATTGATTTAGGCTCTTGATGCAGCTTACCAATTCAAAAAATTCTGTCATGATTTGTGAGACCTTGCAGAGGGCAGTTGAGAAATTGCTCACTGTTGCAATATTACTTGAGGAGAAATAAACTTTTTGGGAGAAGCAGGTTATCTCATCAGTTTCTGCTTTACAATCAGAAATTAATATGATTTGTAAAATGCCCTTTTAAAGTGATTGTTAAATGTATTACTTTGTGGATTTCAAACTTACAAAACAGAACCCTCAGAAATAATGTCCATTTTTTTATCATGAGTATTGTATTCTTATTAATGAATTAAATAACCAGCATACAAACAAAAATTCAAGTATTACATGAGCCAGTGCAGGGAAGGCAGTACAGAAGTTAGAAGGCCAGAAGACATCTGTGCAATAACCCTCTCTGGCACCCTTTGCAGTCACATTTCTCAGAGTACATCCTCTGCACATCCCTAGAATCATCTACTTGGCATGTGGTTCTTAAAGTAGGGAAGGAGGCAAAAATCTAAGGAATTTAAACCTTTCTAGTAAGAGCCCACTTCTCCACCAGCAGACTCTAATCAGTTTTAGATGCTGCCTTCTCCTCACATTACCCTTCTGGCTTGGCAGGGACCCACCCATCACTGTCTGCAAAATATTTTCTTAATTGCAGCTTGAGAACTGCAGTTTGAGACATGTAGCAGATGTCAGACAACCCCCTGAATTCAATCCTTTTTAAACTAAGGTTCCCCTGAGAGAAAAAAAAACAAAACAAAACAAAAACCCTCCAAAAAAACAACCCCCAAATCAAAGTGGAGGGAAAATGGCCAAGGGATAGAGAATTCACCACCATGCTCTATAAAATCCTTCCCATGGTTAACTTCCCACAGAGTGAGGAACGAATTAGATTTGTCTTCTAGGCTCAGGTAAGTTTCACTCTTCTAGGTCAATACCAATCAGTTTGGTCAAGTACCCCATTAACCTTCACTTTGGTGACTTCTCAAGAATTTTACTATGTAGCACATTTCCAGGCTTCTAATTACAGCCTCCAGTGCATCCACTCAGACCTATTAACATGATTCTGACCTGGAGACACCACATCTGACCTGGCGACGGGCATATCATACACCAGAGGTCTGTTCAGTCACATCTATACCAAACAGAGATATAAAGTCATCTTTACACTTCTTACTCAATTTTCTCCTGAATCATGACAAGCGTGCATTAATTCTTTTGGACAGTGACCTTGCCAGCTCAATAGGGATGACTTATGATCAAATGAATATCTGCCAAAAAAATTCACTCTCTCCTCAAGGCTACTGTGTACAGAGTTCATACACTTCTTATTAAAGAGCTTTTTTATTTGATGCAGGTCATGAATTCTGTTCAGCTTCGTAAGAGGTGTTCTCTCCTAGTTGGCAATATTCAATTGTATCCAGTACCCCTGTTTTGCATAAAACCCTAGCATATTTCTTTGCAGCTAATGTGACCCTCAAAATGCTAGGTAATCTCATAGCTATTCCAGACTCCTGTCTTGAATTATATGGTACTGTTGTTACAGAGTTTATGTTGAAAATACCGTTGTAGTAGCAGATTAACATTAATTCTTCACACATTCTCTGACATTAATTCTTTACTGCAAGTCTCTTACAAAAGAAAGCACTTGACAAGAAGAGAAGAAAATATTATAAATTAATGAATGAGAAGGAAAAGGACCAGATGGGAAAAAAAAACCCTAGAATTTTATTTAGATGCCTCAGTTCATTTCATAAGAAATGGATAAATATAGGCCCTGGAAGCTGTTTGGGACTGACAACTGCCTGAAAAACAAGTAGTTTGATTGATAGAACATAGTAGAAAGAACAGTACACCTAAAATCAATTCTCTCTCTTAGACATATTGACATATCTTTAATTGTCAAAACATACACTTTAGATTCCTAAACATGAGCAGATTTGTAACTAGAAATCAAATAGAAATTCTTTACAGAGAGGGTAATCAGACATTGGAATGGGCTGCCCAGGGAAGTGGTGGATTCTCTGTCCCTGGAGGTTTTTAAGATGAGACTGGATGTGGCATTTAGTGCCATAGTCTAGTAACCACGGTGGTAGTGGATCAAGGGTTGGACTTGATGATCTCAGAGGTCTTTTCTAACCCAGCTGATTCTGTGATTCTATGAATTCACTTAGACACCTGGCTTGTATTTTTGGTGCAAAGGAATGCCTCACGGCTTTTAGACATTACCAGAGCATGGTTGCCCATTTACCATATGTTGGTTAAAGCACTCTTCCAGGATGGGTCTTGGTCCCTTGACTCTTTGGGACTCTCACACACATTTTTGGCTTCCCAGACATGCATTTCACTACATGACTTATGCTTTTAGTACATACATTTTTAATGCAAATTTCATATACAACACCTGTATAAGGGACATTGATACTTTTGGTCTGTGTTTGGCTCAGCCACCTGTGAGAGTGTGTCCTTTCCCTGCCAAGTTATGAGAAAACAAGCACTGATAAAATGAGAACTTCGTCCTTGAAGAGACACAAACAGACATTTACTCAAGTCTGGATATCCCTGTCTGGATACTCCAATCTCTGCCACAGAGTTAATGTTTCTCATTTAATCTGTGCCTGTGCCCATGCCTTGGGGCTCCAGGGCAGTACAGGTTCAATAAACTAGTTGGAGCAAACTCAGGATATAATGCTAATGTTAAGGATGCACCAGTTTGGATATAGTGCTGCATTAGCTGTTGCAGCCAGTGCCAAACACAATTCAAGTTGCATACTATCCCAGGCCTTTGCCTGAAGCACTGTGTTGGTCAAATATGGGAAAGAACAAGCCATTAAGAAAGGATCCCTTAGCCAGCTGGGCAATCTTGATTTCCCTTGAAACAGGAGAAATAGCCACCCTTCACCTGTTTTAAAGATGGAATAAGTATTTTCCTGTAATTTCTGACTGAAGTGACTAAAATTAAATTAAATAAATGTCCTTAGACTATCACCTCAACAGCAAGACAGGTGAACTTCAGGCTCAGAGGGAGCTTTCTGAGAAAAAGTGTAGTTTCTCAAGGAGCTAATTGGCTTAAGTAGAAGTACTTTTATTCTCTCAAATTAATTTAGATGTCTGTTTTCCCTTTAACTTGCCCCGTTGGTATCTAAGCAATTTATATTCAGTTTGTCCAGATCCTCTAGGCAATGTAACAAAGACAAGACAATATCTTTGTTCCTTGTATTACTAAATGAAGCTAAAACAGCATGTCAAAGTAATGTTCTTTCCTAGCAGCACATCATCCTTAAGCACCTTCATTATTTTCTCTCTGTATTGTACTATAAAATTGTATCCTATTTTCTAAGCTGAATTCTATGGGGCTCAGTGTACACTGTTTAAGTGAGTTTAAGAACGTTCTTTAACAATTACTGATGTTACTCCCCATGCGACCCAGCTGTTACATGACATAGGATTAGTGTCCTCATAATTCCCATTTAACAAGTTCAAATGGATTGAATGGAGCAGGTGCTGCATTATTTGTGCTGATCTTTCTTCTGCCGTACCTCATTTTACCTTGTCCAAGCAATATTATCAAGGGCCACTTAAAAAGAAATGTACTTTTAAAGGGAGAACTTGACTGATTTGTGAACATGTTAGGGTAGTCTTTAGATTCCATAGGGAGAAAAAAAAAACCAACAAGTTTCTTATCATATTTTTTGTTCCTTGAACAAAATCTGAAAAGTAGAAACCTCTTACCTGCTGATTTAAATTACAAGAAGAGAAATAAAGAGGATTAATCTTTTGTTCTCAGCAGGTGAGATGCTTTTGTAAAATGAATTTTATCTCATCAGTATAAATTTAGAGTTTTTGAAATAACTGATTCATATGAACTCTGTGTATCAGATTAATGCTTAACTTTGATTGCCAATCTCCACAACGAAAATTAATGAAGACATCTCTCATACATTTCCCCTAAGACAAGCTGAAATTTTATCTGGGAATATTGCACAAGCAACAAATATCTTAGTCAATTCCTCAAGAACGTACCAAGAATATGAACCGATTTTAGCTGTAAGAAAACTTTGGTGACTCTAAAATTAATATATAAACATAATAATATTTGTTTATTTAAAAGTTAAATAAAAAGTTATTATTACCTGAACCCTGAATCTTTTTCCAAGATTAAACAAGTGCAATAACTGTGACTGTTGATCCCCTCCATTCTGGCAACACGCTGTGCAGGAGAGAAAGCAAGTGTATTATATATACATACAGAGTCAAGTTTTCCTGTTTCTTCAACCAATATCTTCTACTATATCTGGATTTGGTAGTTAGGGATTCTAGAACTTACAGTTCAGAAGTTATCTTCTTCCTAAACTAGAATTCAGGTGTAACTCAAGATTTCTGGATGAAAGGCGTTCCCTTCAGCTCTATTTAGCATGTTTGGTAGTGATTATCTTGATTTTGCTGACAATATCTGAAAGGAAGAAAACACATTCACCTTTTCAGAAATCAGAACCATCTATGATTGTATCTGCTTTTTAAACATCATCTTCCCTCTCCTCTGGCTCTTGCAAGACCTCCAGAAATTCTGAGGTGTTGTGCTATGCAGGCTTTTTGTCCATCAAGAACTGACACATCAGCCTACTTAACCTGAAGGTAATGTTTCCTGAGGTTCTGCCTCTGAACTACAGGAATGTTATCTTCCATCTGTTTCTCAGTAGACTTTCTCTCACTTCAGGTCAAAGTTTCTACTCATTTGGGACTAGTTAGAGCTTTTGCTGTCAGTCCTAAATAAGTACGGCATTTTGATACACAAAGTCCCAACTCTCTGTGGGTTCTGCTTTTACTCTGTGGAGAAAGTCTTCTGAAAGACATGAGTTCCTGATGTTTGAAAATCCAAATTTGACTAGTTCTTCTAGACAGCACGCAGGCAATACAACAACACAAGTTCTATCTAATTTTTCCTTCTTTGTTTTTATGATTGGGCCTTTGGTACTATGTTTTCATATTTGGATGCCACTTAGAACTAAAATCTTGTGAAAAATCGTACCTTTAAAAGGCCTGACACAAGGCAAAATATTTTTTTGTTTTGCTGTGATTCATTTTGCTTTGTACACAAAATAAATCAATAGATTACCAGTATTGAACTCAATCGTGGGCTAAATAAAAGTAAATTTACCTTAATGATTCATTTCCCTCACTCTGGGCAAAAGAAAGGACAATGCCTCAAATGTCTTCAGCACATGAAACAGATTGGATTTTCCTAATATCTAACAGTCAGTGAGTCATAAAAATTACTAAACTATCATTTTCCTGCTGTGAATAGAAAAAGCAGAAACTGCAACATTTGTGAATCTGTCACAAAATAAGTTACAGAGTTAAAAAAGACAAAGATGACTTAAAGAAAAAATAGGCAATACCCATGCTGCTTAAAACTCATGTAAAAAAGAAGAAAAATACTTACATCTTGACTGCCAAAGATCTTATATTTTTCCCCAGCTCTCATGCTTAATTTTCTTCTTTGCATCCACTTATTTTATTTTGGCTGATTTCTTTTGTTTACTTGCTTTTTAAATGATCCTGCAGCATATTTCCCAGAACTTATGCAATACACTTGGAGACAACTAAATTAGAAATTATGAGAATGTGCCATTTCCAAAAGAATAAAAGATGACATATTCTAGAACAGTCAGTTAAAAAATGAGTAGCTCAAGAGGAAAGACAGAACTATCCTGTGTTACAGAACTGACAAACCTACTGGAAATTATTACTACATAAAGTGGAAAAAGTGAATAGCAAAGCAGTCAGAAAAAAGATGCTTCTGAAACAACCGTTTCACATCATCAAAACGTCACTCAGCAAGACAGACTTAAATTAATATCAGTTTATTTAGAAAATAAATTTTGCACTAAATCCTTGTATAAAAACTATTTAATCCCTGAGGAGAATTATTGCTAAAGTCAAAATGATTAAATTTTAGATATGTAGAAAAAATTGGAATCTGTAAGATAAATTTCAAAATGTTTTTGCTGTCATACAATATCCTGACATTATGGTTATTCATATGAGATCATCTAAATTTTTGTTCACTTAATCATTCTTAGGAAATACCAAGGAGAAATCCTTCATACCAAGGTTCAGAATGATGTGAATGTGTATTTATTCCCCTAAACAGAAATATTCGGATGTCTCGATAATGAGCATCCATAAACCCAGCAAAAGTTGTTCAGTAATTTTGCAAGCTTTTATTTGGATGTCTAATAATAGAAACTCACAATCGTTATTTTTAGGCCCTAGGCCAAACTCATCAAGCTATTCAACTGTCTGTATAGCACTAGATTTCTGTTTTCTCTGACTTGTAAGGAGCACACAAATAAGCTAACCCACAAAAAAACCCCAACTCACAATTCCTATAAATTAAAAAATATTTCTAAATGCTTCTGTAATACCAGACTGTATTCTAGAATATGTTATTACCGCAGTTTACCATAGGTCTACCTCTCTTCTTAAGAAGAGATGTTTTGCCAGAAAACATTAAAAAAACACAAAACTGCTTGGATTTCCAGATTTAGTTTTGAATCTTTACATTTGCTACAAATTATTCATGGTTTTGATATGGGTACTAAACCACACTGTTACTACAGTACATCATCACAGTTCCTCTGCAGAAACACATCTGATCCAGCACATAGAAATGTAGAAGAAATGAGCTTGGAACTCATCGAAATCTTCCAGACTGGAAAGCATGGATGGATCAAGAGAGCCTCCGAGTCAGAAAGAACTTCTAAAGGGGTCCATAGCCCTGGATGTATTTTAAAAAGAGAAATAGTCTCCACTGGGAAGGCAAAATGTCCCATTCTGTGTCTTTAAGAATGAGTAAAACAGGGAAGTGTATTAGATATGCAACATATATCTGGTAAAATGAAACACTTTGTACATAGTTTATTCTACAGAGATTCAGATGCGTATTTGCAAAATATACTCTTCATAGCTGAATAAACACTGTACATTCAGATTCTCAGCATCACAGATGGCACTTCTGTGGTATTTCCATACTTATACTACTATGGTAATCTTGCAGCATACAAAATGTGATATTTGCATTGTCAAGCATACAAAAAGCAGAACCAGTTTAACAATGCAGAACAACTTTCACTAAAGGTTATACGCTGTGTTTCAAGAGGTTTTTCTGGCCTCTTAGAAAGGTGAGCAAAAGAATAAAAGGCTGTTTGCAAACGTTCACAGGCACATAAGGGACATCATGAACTCCAGCTGAGACCAAAGCAATGGGGAGTCATCTCCGAGGAGTTTCAGTAGCCGGGAGAATTGAGCACTGTTCTGACGAACCACAGTTAGTACAGCACAGCGTGTGTCCAGAGGTATTTCAGTTGATCCCTCATCCAGGTGGACTATGAAGAATATTCCTTCCCCTCTGCTTTGCCCCAGGCCTGCCCAGACATTTCCTGGAGCATGTAAGTTAGCCCAGGCCAAAACTGTTCCAGAAGTGTGCTGGCAAACAGTATGAGCAGCCACATACACATTAGCTCCTATGTCCAGGCCTCTCTGAAGCAGTGTGTTGGTGCAGACTCAGAGAATGGGTCTGACTCCTCAGCTAAAGACAGATGTAGCTTTTGGACCTATTTCCCTCTTCAAATATTGTATCAAGTGTTTGAGCTTTGTCAGTGGCATGCTGTTAAGCAAAAGAGTGACACATTATGCTGCCTTTGGTTTCCTCTGGCAATTTTAGAAAATCCTTTCTCCTTAAATAATGGAAATAGTGAGAAAATATAGGGTCCTGAAATTCTGATTGTAGAGGTAGATTCATTATCAGATGCATTGAATTGCTGGTAGCAAAGCTATTAAGTCCCAAGTGAAATAGCCACAGGCTGAAAACTTCCTGTGAACTAAACACTACTTATCTCTGTGAATAAATACAGTACGGAAGATGAAATACAAATCTTTAAATGGATTCTGAATATGCTATTTTTGTAATCATTTCTATGCTGTATTCAAATTACTTTGAATGTAACTCCAGGAGCTACGCTCTTTATTTCAAGCAGATAGCACCAGAATTCAGAAACACTTCACTGACCTTTCCAGCATGGAGTATAGTAATGATCAGATTGCTTAGAACAAAAAAGAACTTATTTTTCATCAGACTGTTTTCTTCACATGTGGGAGAAGGGGAAACCCAGCTTATGGTTTCCAAGAAGCTACAGTTTTCCTGCAAATACTAACACAACTTCAGTGTTTCAAGAGCCAGTGAGTAAGCAGGCTAACAAACAGAAACAGAGAAATTCCTACATCATTAGTTTGAAAGGAGATTTTAGTCAGCAAACTAAGCTGACTAAACAAGCAAAGTGGCTCCACTGTTACATAAAATGATATATATGTACTATAGGCAACTTAGTCTACACAAGATTGATGTTTTTCCACAGCTGCTACCTTAAAAGAAAACCATCAAGTGTCAGGCAAAGTCAAGCAAATGTTTTTCCCTAAATGTATATGTAGCATTACACCTGAGATTTCTTTTTCTTCTTGACAAACTCCTGTCTCATTCACTCTACAGCTTCACATTTTCTGAAAAAGTAGTCACTCTGGAAACTGTTGCTCCATTACAGTCATAAGAAGGCATTGACAGCAAATACATATGTTTTGCTGCTGATATCAAATTACTCAACAGAGTAAAAATAAAATACAACTGAGAAGAATTATTAAAGGTTGTTTGTTATTGTTATTCAATGAGGCTGTTAGTTATTTACTATAAACTAAAAGCATTGTATATATAGAAAAATATTTCTAGCCATATTTGACTGGCAGTCTCTAGATTAGCTGCTGACCTCAGAGAAGAACCTTTAGGTTAACTTTACCAGTTTCGAGTATTAGGTCAGTACTAAATAATGAAAAAAAACCCAACAAAAACCAGTGAAACAAAAAAAACCCCCAAACTATCAAAGTTGGAAAAAACAGAAAGAGAGGAAAAGAGGGAAGAACAGACAATATGAATATGACCTTGTGAACTGCTGATATACTTTTATCTTGAATTGTTACTGCATTCCCCTCTCCCTATCCTATCTCAGGAAAGAAAGTTATACAAGCAGGAAAGTCAAGTGGAGAGTTACAAGGCAAGACAACTAAGTGCAGAGAGATCACACACAGTAGGATTCTTCAGTCTTGACAAACATATCTGAAGTGGAGAACAACAGATGTATATGGTATAGTGAGTAGCTTGGAGAACACAAAAAGAAGAATGGCATTGCTTCTCTTGATACAAAAATAAGACCCATCATAAGAAATTAGTAGGTGGAAGAGTCAAAGCAAAGAAAAATCCACTCTTAAAACAGCACAGTGTTCGAGTACAGCATTCATTACAATGGAAGACAGCAGAGGCCAAAAGTTTACAGGGACTCAAAAAGCAGTTAAATAAATCGATAAATGTGTATGGTCTTGGTCCAGAAATTTATTCAGACCAGAAATTTTTAAG